CAGGTCGAATACAGCAGGGGATTAATCGTGCTTGAAGGCATGACCTATCGTCTCAATGGAAGCGACTGTAGGAATCGCCATGTACTTGGCCGAACCACAACTCGAACTGGTTCCCGTTAATCGTGGTATCTCTGAGACGGAGAGCATTCAATGTTCCCAGCCATGATTTTCGGTAGTATCGTCGACGAATATCCTTGGCCCAGCCCAGGGACGGACGACCTAGGTTACTAGACTCTCGACAGTTTGTGGTGGGGCTTCTCAACTTTGATCCTGTCTGCCCGCAGCATTCCAACCATGACGTCACGGTTACTAGACGTGGGAAGCAGGAAAAGAGCTCCAAGCTCCTCCGGGCGTGACTGAACCTGTCTTCGGAGATGAGAATGTGACATTGGCATTCTTGACACGCAGTTTCAAGGTCTGGTGAAAGTCGTACCATATGCACTCGCTGCTGCTTACTTGGTCAGGGCAGAGAAGGCAGAAACATGCAAGGAGACCGAGTCACATGTGAATCTTATCATTTTGTAATATAGATCTCTTGCGAACGGGTATAACGTGGTGCAGCGTACAGTCGTAGTATTGGCACTGATCTCGCTACTCCACAAATGCCAGATGCGAACTGGAAGAGATTCAAGGTTTATCCACTACTCGCGTGGCTTTTCTGGGCTTGCTTCACCATGGCGGCATGGTTTTACTTTGTGCAGCGTTTTACCAATGGGAAGCATCTCGGGAAGGCTTATGGTAGGTTAAGGTAGACATTGACAGGCGGGAGCCGTCCGATCCAGCAAGCTGTCATCTTGTGAATGATGACCGGTCTGATACCAACCGACCTGCAGGCTGGGCCTCATACTATAGAATGGAGCCTGCCACAAGGTACTACAACATCCAGCAACTCGCATTCCATGTTCAGATGGCAATGCTGGATAATACATATCACTTACCAGAAGTTGCGACCAGGGATCGAATGAACAATGCTCTGCACGGATACAATGATTGATCATGATGGAAATGCAGGCTGCGTCTTGTCAGTCCTCATTCGCGTCAGCCTGCATCCGCCAGCAGCAAGCTGGTGGATCTAGTCGACCTCGTCCCGCCTACCAGTGCCCAACCAGCGTCTAGAAGGACGCCTACCACCAGTCTCAGAAGACACACACCGAACTCAGCCTGCTGCAACATGCCTGCATCGAGCGGTCATGAGAAACCAGAAGAGGCGCAGAGCCCAGAGTCCAGACTTTTCCCTATCTGACGGACTGACCTACTCTGGAATATGTGTTATGTCGTGCCAATTCCATCCATACCTCTCATAACATGCCATGTCTGCCTGTGCGACCACCCAGAGATACCCAGGCAGAATAGCACCGAAGAGGTTGGTTGGAGATCCAACGGCGATAACCGTGGGCCTACCTTACTCAGATAGATGACTTCGTTTGGGGAGATAAACTTCTCAAACGTTCCAATAGCAATTGAGGCGAGCGATTGAACAAGATATACTACCTGACAAGCTCTCTAGCCAAAAGTATGTATTCCTGGTAGGCTCCCGGCTGTTCCCCTTAATATGAGGGTCGTTGGGAGTGTATCTGGCTACCCGTTGTCGCACTCCGTCTTCTCCATGGAGATTCTTTTTGTCAATTCTGCATCTCATCTTTTTCGTCTTTTGGTTTTTCTTATTCCGTTCTAATTCCTACCCAATCCGGTGTCCGAGTACCCAGACGACAGGGCCTGTTCCTTGGTTGCACCCACTCGCTCTTCCAGCCCCCCTCGGCTGTTAATTATCGCTGCCCTATATCACCCTAGATGCCCCAAGCCGCTGTAGGATGACGACGTTTGTCTTCTAATCGATGCCCACCCAGCCCAAGTGCGCGCGTGTCGACTCGTCCCGGATTAAATCCCCTTGGGGTCATTTCTCTTTCCCCCAAATCCTCCCAAGCGAAGAAGGATTCTCATTCGGAATCCTCACATTGCCAACCCGAACCGCTCCTCTGTTGCTGCTGTTATTCTTCCCTCGACAGCCAACCTTTTTGTTAGCGCTCTTTGTGCGACGGCTGGAACCAACATTAATGAGACTGATTTTTGGCTTGTGACATTTTTCGCACCAGTTTCAGTCTTATGACGCTATTTCCAGGCGTCGATCCTTCCCGTTGCAACTAAAAACTACCCCGCTACCACCCCCAAAAAGACAGAGACTCCAGGCCTTACACTAGAAGTCAAGCGAGCGCTCGTAGAAGCCTCGTATCGCCCGACCGGAATTGCCTGTCGTTGGACTGGCCCCTCTCCTGAGTAGATTACTTGGCCAGAAATCTCAGGGCCCGGTACACCCAAGGACTTTGTTTTTTTCTTTCTTTCAACAAACAGTCACCATGTCTTACCGAGTTGGCGGAGGTCGCAGCGACGTTGCGGAACGTGACAACCGCTACTACTACGACGAGCCCCGCCGTGGCCCGCCGCCCCGTCGTGAGTACGATGATGTCGAGATCTTTGAGCGACGAGAGGAACGTGAACGTCGAAGCCCTCCGAGGCGGGCGCCCGTCCGAGAGTATGAGGAAACCGACATATCCATCCGCGAGAGGGACAGCCGCACCCCGGCTTTCCTGCGCGAAGAGCGACCCCGCGAGGCTGGCCCCCTCGTCCTCCGCTCCCGCGAGATCGAGACCATTGACCGCCGCCGCCCTCGCAGCCCCAGTCCCGTCCGCACGGAAGAGCGTATAATGGTGCGCAGGCGCAGCGTATCGCCGCCCAGGAGGGAAAGATCGCCGCCGCCGGCACCCATGCCTGAGCTTAGAAGGCCCAGGTTCATGGAGCGCTCGCCGTCGCCGGAAGTGCGTGTAGAATCTCGCGAGATCGTCAGAGTGGACCGGCGGCAGAGGGAGAGATCGCCCACCCCGGAAAGAGAACAAGAGATCCGGATCATCCAGCGCGAGAGGCAGAGAGTCCCCTCCCCGAGTCCCTCTCCTTCTCCACCTCCTCCACCCCCGCCCCCACAAGTGATCCGAGGCCCGACGATCGAGCGAGAAGTCATTACGCATTATCGCGATATTGATCATGGTAAGTTCCAAGCCCTTGGCGATACTATATGCAAGACGAGTGACAAATTGATTAATTCACAACTCAGGTGTTGAACGGGTGCCAGCTCCATCTCCGCCTCGTCCACCGCCTGCCCCGATCCAACCCCGTCGGGAGCGTGCCAGGGAGAGCGAGACAGACATTGAAATCTATACTTCACGCCACGACACAGAAGTGGATATCCATAGGCACAGCCGGTCTCGTTCGAGGCCAAGACCGCGACCAGTCGCACCACCCCGGGGACCATCGTTTTATGATGACGAGGTCATTGTTCGGAGCGATCGGGACCGCCTGGAGATTGACATCGAGCATGACCACAAGCGTTCCCGCTCCGTGGCGCCACCTCGTCCCGATTACTCGGACGAGGCTGATTACATCACCGGAAAAATCGACTCGCGGGGCCGCATGGGCGAGGCATGGAATGGCGCGACAAAAGACTGGACCATTGTCGATGTTCCGCCAGGAACCGACCGCGTCAAGATGGACGGTGTGGGCGGAGGCAGCGCTGAGGTGACGTGGCAGCGGTACAATGGTGTACGGCGTGCCAAGTTTATCCCAGAACGAGATGCCCCTGGCCCTGCTCCTATGCCTATCGCACCCGCCGCCAGCAGCACAAGTGTTAGCGAGACGGTCTCGGACCGCGACCGCCTGAGTGTCCAAATCTACGACAAGCACCGCGACAGCTCTCGTGACAGACCACCCATCGTGGAAGATGTACATGACACGCGCATTTCTATTCGAGATCGTGACCGGGATCGCGGCCGAAGACCACTCAGGAAGCAGCGTGACATGTGGACGGAGATCACCAAGGACTTGGTTGTTCGCGAGGCCATCGAGCGCCTGGGTTACGAGTACGAAGAAACAGAGTACTTTTTCTACGTCATGGAGTACCTCAAATACGTAAGTTTGCAGCAATCATGATGCAGTTCTCCTGTCTTGAAAATACTAATTCGATTGCAGGAGGATGTTTTGGAGATTGTCACTCTTTCCGACAAGATTCGGAAGCAACGCAAAGAAAGAGCTAGGGAGATCGAGTGGGAACGGGAAGCTAGAGAGCGCTGGGAACGCAAACACCGCCATCATCACAAACACCGTGACTGGGACGATGAGAGAGTCGTTGAGCGCGAGGTGATTTATGAGCACGAACGCAAGCCGGTACGAGGATATCTCCACTAGGCCTCTAGTGAGACGGACAGCTGCGGTGATACGACATTGCGTGCAATTTTGAAAATTGTCTTCTACTGATGGGATGGACGATGCTTACGACTGTAAAGATCGGATGGACCGACAGTTTGCCGACGAAACGGCGGGATATGCCCCAGGATTTCTATTTCGTGTATCAGTAGCGGACTGATCAAAGCATCATGGCTGAGACTGGACCTCTCCTTGGCTATCAATCTCCTGGACTGGATATTTCTGTCATGTTGGGTTATCTTCTACAACATAGCGCGGGCGAAGGGCATGGGAGATGAAACGAACTGTATCTAGAGATATGAACGTTACAGAATCATGATTAATGAGTGATGATCTATAAAAGAATATTGGTAGAATATTGCTTGTTGTCGATGTATTGTGGGTGTCTACGGGTGGCTGATCGGCATGGTACATTGGTACTAACCTAATCCATATCTCGTTATACTCTTAGCTATGGTCATGAACAGGACGAGACGTACTCCGTACATGTCTATTCTCACAACCTACGCTGGGATTTATACACGCCATTTATCACTTAAGAATATATTCCATGAAACGATATAGTCTGCGATCCACCGTGGATTATACTCACTGGCACTTTCGACGTTTATAAAGCTAATATTAAAGCACCTCCCTCGGTGGAGGCACGCTAATACCGCGTTACTGCCGCTTGTTGATGACTCACCAGTTTAGCTATATGGATAGTAATAGATGCTCCTGTTTCCGGACACCTAGAAGAGAATGATCCATCCGAATTGGTGTAACGGTCAACATTTCGCGTTTTCATGGCACTGCGTCAAGATTACCGCGGAGCTCGGGGTTCGATTCCCCGATTCGGAGTTTAATTTTTTTGTCATTTTCACGTATTTTAGAATTCACTTGTGCTATTATCCTTTTTGCTTCTCCTTATGTTTTGTTTGGATTTGTATATCTACTTGATACTTTCCACGGGTATGCCTTGCATTGGAAGATTGTCGCAGTATTCAGTGCCCCTGCTACAGTTGATTTTGACGAAATTAGTGGGTCTATGATGTCGTGTTAGGACTTCACTCTTACGAGGTATATCCGCCAAACATCAATGATCAACTAGATGGCCGTATACTTGATTATACAGTTTTTCTTCTATTGAGAAATGACTATCCCTGTCCTGCGTTTCCAAGCCTCCAGATATCTGAAGCTCGGGAACAGCATCTTCAATTCCCCATATACTCCTCGCTTTCCCCCTGTCATCGCGCTGTCAGCTTCGGGCCTCTTATACCGCAACATGACCACCATAAAACTGTCAGCGGCCGGCGATGTCCCCATCACCGTGCCAGACGGTCTATCACAGGAGACGCTCGAGAGCTTCAAGCCGCTCAACGTGAGTTTCTATCTTAGATCTCGACTATTTCTCAGCCACCGCTGACCCAAAAGACAACCCGCAGCGCTGGCTCACCACGCTGACGCGCTCCCTCGAGCGCCAGCGCACCAGCCCGTCGCACCCGTTCCACGCGGACCCGTACTCGCTGCGCAAGGCGGACATCCAGTCCTTCGACTTGTTCGGCGGCCAGCGCCTCGGGTTTCTGAAATTGCAGGCCGACGTATCCAACGGCGGCGGCGAGAGCCTGCCGGGCTCCGTGTTTCTGCGCGGGCCCAGCGTCGCCATGCTGGTGCTCCTAGTGCCGGACGACGTGAGCTCGCCCGAGGAGGTGGACAGCGAGCGCCGCGTCGTCCTGACCGTGCAGCCGCGCGTGCCGGCGGGCGGGCTCGGGTTCGTCGAGCTGCCGGCCGGCATGGTCGATGATAGCGGCACGTTTGCCGGCGCCGCGGCCAAGGAGATCGAGGAGGAGCTCGGCGGGCTGGTGATTGAGGAGGCGCAGCTGACCAACATGAGCGAGCTGGCCGGGCAGAAGAAGCAACAGGATGATGAAGAATACGCCGAGGAGGACCTCCCCGAGGCCGTGTTCCCGTCGGCCGGGGGCTGCGACGAGTTCGTGCCCGTCTTCGTGCACGAGCGGCGGGTGCCCCGGCGCAGCCTCGACGACTGGGCGGGCAAGCTGACGGGCCTGCGGGACCACGGCGAGAAGATCACGCTCCGGCTCGTCCGGATGAGGGATCTCTGGAAAGAGGGGCGGCGGGATGCAAAGTGTCTGGCCGCCGTGGCTTTGTGGGAGGGTCTGAGGCGGGAGGGTAGGTTATAGTCTCTGTACTGTGCAGGCGGTTCGTGTGTACATGAAACTAAGAGGAGGCATGGCAAAAAAAATCAAAAAAGAAAGGTCGTTGCTGGTTTCGAACCGCAGGTCTTCATCCGACAAGTCTGCCGCGACCGTCCTTTCCACTAGCATTACCTAGCTATCAGTTTAAGGTCATGAACGCAACGCCCTTGGACCGTTGAAGAAAAGATGGGTTGTTTCGACCTAAGGTGTCGTCTCGGTCTTGTAGTTGGGTGGTTGACCAGAAGCCTGAGGCGTCAATAAAGGGTCGCGGGTTTCAAACGCTGCAGTACCTAGGTACCTATCAGCATAGATTTGGAAGATAATACTCTGAGTGCCTGCAACCTATGCAGCAGATAGGGTGAGCCTTGAAGCTACGTAGAAGATGCCGTTTGCCAACTGAATACAAGACAATTCGAAGGATCGTGGGTCAGGAACACGCCTTCACAACCGGATGGCAGTAGTTATTCCGCACCTCATGGTCCAAGAGATTGCATTAGAGCCACTTCTATTTATTTATAAATTTGAATATATGATCCCTCCAACTGGCCACACTATCCACGCTATGAAATCATATATCCTTCATCTCCTGCATACGGATCTGGTATACTCTTCAATGCGGAACTCAAACATGGGAGCAGTAGTCCTGAAGCCAATGCTCCCTTGCCCGTCAAACGCCATGTGCAAAGCGAGTATAAGCGAGACAGGATTTATATCCGCTTTGCATACCCACTCGTGCTGTAGTTGGCTGACCAACATGTCAGACTACCGGGATGTTATGGATGTAAGCAAGTAAGTAAACTCTGACATGATACCTCACTGGTCATCTACCTACTTAGGGTGCTGATTGCATAACGTATCAAATTTCGCTTTGCCAGCTTCAATGGAGAAACATCGGAGAGGTAGGATTGCCCATGTTGCGAGTCTTTACATGTAGAGACGTGCTTCGTTTTGGATAGCTTTCCAAACTTCCATAAAACCAAAACGGATGAGCATTGTGTCAGTCAAAGTCAATATATCTTACAACATAACTTGGTCAGCTAGGATCTACAATGACGACAACACACATTTTGATCACAGGAGCCACGGGCCTGATCGGCTTCCGCATTTTGCTTGCCGCTCTCGAGGCCGGATACAAAGTGCGTTATACGGCACGATCAGAAGACAAGGCCAAGACAGTGTCTTCCAATCCTGTTGTGCAGGCACTGGCACCCGACGACCGTCTCTCCGCCGCCATCATTCCCGACTTTGCAGTAGACGGCGCCTTTGACTCGGCCTTGAAAGATATCACGCACGTCATCCACGCCGGGTCTCCCGTCCCTGTACCAACTTACGACCCCTCGACCGAGGTATTCCAGCCCACGCTGCGCAACACCGCCAACATACTCGCGGCAGCGCTCCAGACACCCACGGCGCAGCGCGTCGTCATCACCTCGTCCATCGTGGGCAACCTGGGCCTGGTGCCGCCGCCAACAGTAGTCTCGGCGGTCACGCGCGTGCCGCTGCCTGAGCCGCTGCCGCAGACCTACGACGACGTCTTCGGCGCCTACATCACTAGCAAGATGGTCGAGCTGCACCGCACCGACGAGTTCGTCGCAACGCGCAGCCCGCACTTTAGCGTCGCCCACGTGGTCCCGGGCTACGTCTTCGGGCGCAACGAGCTGGCGCTCGACGCGGACATGATGCAGCAGCAGAACAGCTCGAATAACTACCTCCTGCTCGGCATGCTGGGCGGGAAGCTGCCGTTTCCCATGCACGGAGGCTTTGTGCACATTAAGGACTTGGCGGAAATTCATTTGCGTGTTCTGTTTCTGGAAAATTCGAGCGAAGGCCCTGTCGATTATGCGATTGCGGTCAAGGTCGATTATGATATCATTTTTGATCATGTCGAGGCAGCGTTTCCCAAGGCTGTTGCGGACGGTGTATTCAAGAGGGGAAAGGTGCCGACATTGAATGTCGAGTATGACTTCAGCGACACGGAAATGTTGCTTGGCGGCAGGAAGCTGAAGAGTTTTGAAAGCGCTATCGTAGAGGTAGCAGCCCAGTACCTGGAGAAGTTGGGAAAAGAGAAAGCTTGAGGGCCTTGCTATAGGTAGTAGCCATATGAAATAGAATACATAGCGTTTGGTACCACTTTATATCTGACACCATCGCAACATGCTGTAGTCAAGTTACGTGCTCGAGTATACTTGGGAGTCCCGTTGCACTCTTTTTGTCGAATTCCATCCTAACATTTTCACTCCCAGCCACTCGAATCTCGAACAGCATCATAGGCAAGGTCAAGCACCAAGGAAAGTCCAAGCGGGACTCGCGCGCTCGACGCCACCAGAAGGAACACGGAGGCTCAAAGCCTCACAGACTGCTCCCGCTCCTAACCAAGCATTTGCCCTAGGATGGCATGGCTTGGAAGAACGTGGGAAAGATCCTGTCCAACCCCGAGTCCAGTCAGGTGGCTATGGCCATTGAGCTCGGTTATGGCAGTCTTAATCGTGAGCGCGGTAGTTCGAGGTCTGAATAAAAGCGACTTTTTTTTTTTCGGTGTCCTTGTCTTGTAACTTTTGTCGTGTTGTGTGACCGAGTCGTGGAACAGTCCAACTTATGGAGATACCACCGGAAATATTATATCATGTCGGGGAAATGGAAATACAACAAAGAGGCAAAAGGCAGAAGAAATTATAATTTGTAGTGCATTAAACTGGAGATCATCCGATTAAACTGTTGAGACTTCGTTTTTCTTTTCTTTTTCTTTTTCTTTTTTTTTTCACGCAGTCCTACCGGTGCTTCTTCCCTACCTACTACTACGGACTCTTGAGGGGTGCCTCTATGGGCAGTAGATTCTCGTTTCCTAGAGTGTCACTCACTTCCAAAGGCCAGTTGTTGGGGTTTGGGATCTTCTTTCCCATCTCTGATTGGCACCGCCGTCCGAGCTCATTTTATAGGGTGACAGTAGTCGCCCTGGCCTCAATAAGGTTCGTCCTTTTCTTGTTAGAGACGTTATGCTCTGTTCCAAAGATGCTTCCAGGGGAAATAAGTGTGTAACGCATCCTCCAGGAGAGGGTCCGGGGACTATGCCAACGCTCTCTTGCAGGGATGGCGCCGAAATTGCCATCCATCGGGTCTCGCATTTTTTTGGCGTTGAAGACGCTACGGTGTTTCCCGAAACTGAATGTATATTCTTGCTGGAAATTTGCAGGGACAGGTCGGCACCAGATAGTCTTTTCGTTCTTGTTCGGTTCATATGGGCGTGGCTCCATTGTAACGGTCCAAGAGCAGACCCGAAGTTGAGAGGCTGTTCTCGCTAACACACTTTTCGACTTATTTTTCGGATTGGGCTGGTTGAATGTTGGCAATATGTTGACGTTTTTTGTGCGACTATTGTCTTCGGATGAACGGAGGGGCATCAGAACTGGATGGATCGGCCATTTCGATGTGTTTATGGTGCATGATTCTTTGTGGCTTTCCTACCGACCACTCTGGACACTAAAGATGACTTTTCGATCGAACCGGATTTATCTCGCAAGCCAGTGGACATCAGCCATGTTTTAGTCTAGTAATTCATAGTTAGCATACATCTTCTTTATCTTGGAGGAAGGCGATGCATACGTTACCTCAGCTTCAACGAAGAGGCCAGTCTGTTGAAGGCTTAAT